GTTAATAAGTAACTGTAGGGGGTCCCACCAACATCTGTTTGAGAACTCCAGGTACAGGATGAAGTTCTGAGCCTCACACATCAGGATGCTAACTGAAGGACTCCAAAGCCAGGCCTCAAACTTGAGGTGATGGTTCAGAGATTTTCCCAATTACTATCCTACCCTGGCCAAGGATAAGTTAGCTTCCTTCTCTAGAAAAGAGAATAGCGGGCATCTTTGCACTAAATACTACTGCACCTGACTTCTGCATGATAAGTACCATGCCGGGTGTGATAAAAAGCAATTTGGAAACTAGCCCTTCTACCACGTGGGTCTCCTGCCAAGTGACAGGTGCCCAGGACCTGCATAAAGATGGATGTTGATTCCATCCTCATTCCTTAAGATCCACTGTGGCTGGATCCTGGTGTTCTCATTTCCTGGTCCTGGGCTGAACCATCGTTGATTGCAAAGTTAAGTGCGACTGGAGATGGAATGTACATAAAGTAGGGTCTCTGGGCCTTGGCGTTATTATCACCTAGGACTCATGGATAACCCTTGTGGGAAACACTACCCTGCATAGTAGGGTTTTCCGCATCATACCTGCCCCCTCCCTGCTGGATGTGAGGAGCACATCTTTGCTAATTGTGGCTAAAGAAGAAAAGTCTCTTGTTATTTCCTAATATCCTGTGGAAAGCAGGCACTCTGTTTATGAATGCACGACCAGCAGGGCATGGCGGCACACACGTGTGTACCTGTAGCCTCTGTGCTCTGGGAAGCTGAGATCAGGATTATAAATTTCTGGTCTGGACACTGGGCAAAACAGCAACTAAGAGAGACCCTGTCTAAAACTAAAAATTCAAAAAAGGATGGAAATGTACTGCAGGGTGACCCCACATCCCTCACAAAAGCAGACAGACAAACAAAAAACCTTACTCTGTACTAATGTAAAGTAGCACACACAATATGCAGCACTCACCAGGGCCACTCAGCTGAGCTTTTGAACAGCACCAAGAAGGGGCTGCCTTTCCAAGAGAGTGTAGAATCCTGGGCTGCGGTGGACTTCGTCTTCAGCCCACTTTGGCAGAGTGGGTGTGCACCTGTGTACTTATGACAGCAAATCAGCCATGTGGTGATGGAAAGACAATCCTGGCTCACACTGTGTACCCTCCTAAACGCTGCTGATCTCCAAGACTGAGCACACCCTCCTTCATTAGGTAACCTATACCTGCTTCCTGTCTCTCCTGACTTCATGGGCTACCAGAGGATGCCACAATTTCTGCTTAGCTGGTGGCCTCTTATCTAACAGTATTTTGCGATAGCCATTAGCAAACTTTTTCTGCATAGATCCAGAAAGCAATAGTTTGGGCTTTGTGGCCTATGCAGTCTCTGCCACAACTGTTCAACTCTGTCACTGTGGCATAAAAATAGGCATAGAGAGTATAGAAACAAACAGGCATGGTTGGATCCTCATAAAACTTCATTTATGAAAGCAAGCGGTGGACCAACTTTACCAAGTCCTCCTCCTTTTCCCCAGCTTCAGCTACGAGAGCTCAGAGTTCATTTTTCCAGGGTGAATTTACGTACAAACCCTCCTACTTCTGCTTTTGTGGCTAGCCTGCTCCCGGAACTTGGAGATGGAGCAGAGACAGCAGCCCAGTGTCCTGTCCTCCAGGAGCTCACAGACAGGAAAGGCATGGTAGCTGCGCTTCACAACATGGGAGATGTGGCACAAGCTGTGTGGGAACTGGTGGCAAAGGCAGTGGCCCCGGGATCCAGGTGTCAAGGGGGCTAGCTAGCAGGAGCACAGAGTGCTTGATCTGGAACTTGAGAAAGAAGAGGTACCAGGCAAAGCTGTGGGCAGGCTTTATTTATTTATCTTGGCGGAACCAGGGATTGAACTCAGACCCTTGCGCTTGCCAGGCAAGCACTTATTCTACTGAACCATCTACCCATGGACAGGCTTTCAAGCAGAGGGCCACAGCAAGCATGTAGGCATGCTATTGGAAGGAAGGGCCTCTTCCTCTGCAGCACTGGCAATAGCTTCAGGAGGTCCGAGGTGGGTCTCTTTCCCATGCAGCGCTTGCGTCCCTCCAGGAGCCCTTCCCCTGGCACAGGTGCTGAGGAGATTCTTCTATTCTCCAGATTTTCCTGCAGTGACAAAAGGCCACCAGATCCTAAGTATCTTGGTGCAAGTATTGTCCCCAAAAAAGGAGGACTGTCACCTTGGCCTTCATGTCCCCAGTGTGTCATTCCATGCTTTCCCAGGTACCCAAACCTAGAGCTTTCACAGATGTATTTTTCCATTTGGAGAGAAACGATCAGAGATCTCAGAATCCAAAATTAACCTGGACAAAGCCAGCTCTTGCCCAGAGAATTCCCTTCGAAAGGTTTTCAAGACCCCCAGTTGTTTGGGGCTTCTAGTCAGCCACAGAGAAGTAGGTTCACTCTGTGATTTCTGTACAAAAGAACATACTCCTTGAATAACTTGGGATGGAAAAAGATCTATAGTTTAGTTATGAAACTGCAGAAGATTTTTTTAATTAGTCAAAATCCTGTGGATTGTAGGTAACAAAAATTAGTTTAAACAAAAGAAGAAAGGACAAAATATTTCAGTTATGCAATATGAATAAGTTCTGGAGAGCTAATATACAGCTTGAGGACGACAGTTAAAAATACCATATTTTGTACTTGAAATGTGCTAAGAGGATACATCTTAAAATAAATCTTCTCACACCACACACACACAGTAACTATGTAGAGGTGAGAGATAAGTTAACTAGCTAAAATGTGGTGATCTTTTAACAACGTATACATACATCAAAACATCAAATTACACATTTTAATTATATACAACTTTGTGTTAATTATATCTCAATAAAGCTGTTGAAAATAGGACATTTACTCACTTGTGTAACTACAGCAGACAGTGGTGGTATTAGTTTCGTGTGGCTATAATCAAGACTTCCAAAGATTTGCGGGGATCTCAGCTGACAGCCTTCTGTCTTCAGGCCCTCCATCGTGAGCACCTGCTTGTGGTCTCACCTGGAGGCAGGTCCTCTACTCCAGGAATTTCTTGGAAGCTCCAGGCTTGTATTATTTTTTTATAGCTGCCAGTCACAGTGGAAGAAAACTTCTTTCCAAAACCTGCAGCAAAATCTTGGACTAAGATTTGTCATGCGGGTCTAACGCACTAAAGGCTCAATAAATAAATGGCCAGGAATCAGAATCCCTGGGGCCATGGGGGTAGAACCTTTTGATGGACAGGATACTGCGTGACAGCATTTAGCAGCAACGTGGACGAGGCTGGATCACCTGGACACCAGGGGGGCTGCAAGGGAATACCACCCCCCAAAAAACAAAACAAAACAGGGTGCTGTCTTAGAGGAGGCAGGTATGGAGGCTGAGCTGCAATGATACTAAAGTTCTTTGTGGTTCCCAAGGAGTGATGGCTTTGTTGTTTGTGTGTAACAACTCAGCCTCAGCATAGGCAGGCTCCCCACCACCTCAGAGGCTATAGGAAAAAGTTAGAAAGGGACATGTGTGTCTTCTTTGCCTCCACTGGCATCCTGGGAGGTTTGGAAAAATCAGTCTGGAAGTGGAAGGAGCCTGATAGCAATGTTTTCACTTGTGAAATGTTTTAAACTTATCTTAAGCTCTTCCAAGTGTCCCCTTTCACATTCTAATTAAGGGTCCTCTCTAAACAATGTGCCTGCCCTCAGCAACATGTTTGTGCTGTGGATCAAGGTCCTCTAGCAGAATCTGCTCTGGAATGTTGGTGGTGACTGCTTAGGCGACCACGTGAGCTTCTTCACATTTTTGCCCTCCTATCATTACTGGAGGGCTCAAGTCACATCTAATTGACCACAGACAATCGGAGAGGCCACTATCTGCTGGGCTTAATTGCTGTTTTTTTTTTTTTTTTTTTTTTTTTTTTCCTATCTGGTATTTTCTAACAATGCAATGGCATCTCTTGAGACTGAAAAATTTGGAACAGTAGGTTACTGTTCTTTTGCCTTCTGAGTGCCTCTGTGTGTGTGTGTGTGTGTGTGTGTGTGTGTGTGTGCATGACTATGTGAGATTGTGAAGAGTGGTAGGGTTATGGGGGTGGAGGGAGAGGGAGAGAGAGGTTTCTTGAAATGGAAACATTTGAGTTCAAGGGTTTTTTTTTGGTATTTCTTTTAACTTGACTGTAATTATCATACTGCATGTTTAAGGCTATAACTGAAGGGCGAGTTGTTACATAATGCTCTGGGCTTATAAAAAAAAAAGCAGGGGTTGTTTTGAGGGGAAGAGGCATTGACTTATGGGGCCACATCCAACATTTTGTAGAAAAGTTTGAAGGGCATTGTCACAGAGGGAGGGCATCTTTGTCTAAATTAGGCCCCGAATTTTCATTGGCTGCTCTATGGCAGCACTAAGGAGCAACACACACAGATACACACACAGACACACACACACACACATGCACACACGCGCATGTACCACACTCACCAAGTACAGAGAAGAGACTATTAAGAGGACCCGCCCCACCCCATTATTTGAGCCAAGTTGCGTAAAACTTTGATGAAATTCAAATGCTTTGGATGAATTGGCTCTCATTTCAAGAACACACTCATTTAATTTAATCTTTTGGCACTTTAAGTATCAAATCAAGACTTGCTGTCACTGTGGACAATGACAAAAGTGCAACATCCAAAGCAGGAATGAAGCAAGAAGCTTTGAGGAAATACCCCATCCCCTAGGACACAGAGCTTCCGATGTTGGAACTTTAGGCTGTAGGAGTTGAGGAAAGTGACTCTTTGTTTTGTGCCTCGGTTTCTACATCTGTAAAACGGGGGTGCCCAATGGGTGCAATTTGCTCATGTACTTGGTGAGGGCTGCCTGGGATTGGTCCGTCTCAGGCTAGGTGTAAAACAGTGTCTGGAAAGCACGAGAGAAATAGAGGCGTTGGGCTCAGGGAAAAGGTTTTGTCTGAAACGCTCTCATGAGTTTCTCCTTCTCTCCACTTTCTGATTTTTCAGGGTAATCAGGAAGCAGCGGCCGCCCCTGACACGATGGCTCAGCCTTACGCTTCGGCCCAGTTTGCTCCGCCTCAGAACGGTATCCCCGCGGAATACACGGCCCCTCACCCCCACCCCGCACCAGAGTACACCGGCCAGAGCACCGTCCCTGAGCACTCGTTAAACCTGTACCCTCCTGCGCAGTCGCATTCTGAGCAGAGCCCCTCGGACACCAACGCGCAGACGGTCTCCGGCACCGCCACAGTAAGTGGGCTCTGCCCGCCGGCTCCCGGGGCCGGTGCCCTCTCCTGGCGTACCCCTCCCCCCAGGCACTCTGGCCAGCAAAGCAGATTTAAATTTACCATATCAGCTATGTCTTTTGCTGTTATTTAAATCAGCATATTTTCCACTAGCCACATTTATTTGTAAAGGGGAAGCACTCATCTACTCTCAGTTCATCTATTTTTCTCTTTGATGGTCATAACGGACAAGCTGTGCAGCTCAGGGGTAGAGCACGTTCCTAGGAAGCTGGAGGTCTGAGGTTCCATCCACAGAACTGAGGGTGGCTGAGTGGGCGGACGCTGACAGAGATAACTGACAGATCACAAAATTTGTCTATGCTGGGTGTAAAATTTACTGATTCTTAGAATATTCGCACAGCTGTGCAGTCATGCCCCAAGCCTGCTTTTGGAACATTGCCATTACCCTTAAAAGAGATCTGGTACTGCTTCCACCTCTGCCCTCCGATTCTCAGCACAACGCCTTGGGAAGTCTTCTGTGCTGGGTTTCTTTGCCCGCTGAGTCTGGATTTTACTGTCGCTCTGCTAAGGGGTGGGGAAGGTAGAAACTGCAAGAAGGCACAGAAGAGCATTTGGCTGAGCAAGAGAGCTGTTCTGTATCTTAATGTTGGTGGATGCTGCAAAACCTAAATTTTATTGCATGCAGATGAATCAAATGAATTAAAGGCAAGCAAGCAAACAAACAAACAAAATAATCATGTTCTCATCACCATAAATGAAAATTACTGCAATGGAAGAGTAATTAAAGATAACCCTAAACAAAAGTAATTACACTGAAATAAACTGTTCATTTGTGTAGTACCTACGATGATCCTGTATAGCACCAGACCTGACTGGACTACACACAAACAGGGGCCTTTCCCTGAAGGGTTCCTTAGAAACCCAGCCACTCCAATCCTGTAGTCTGGGGCATTTTGCTTGCAGCTGCAAAGCAATTCTGCTTCTTTCCTCTGACCCCCTGGCCATTGCAAAGCTAGTATCTGGGAAGAAAATACTGGTTGGATGTAAGGTGCATTGCCCAGGGTACAAGGAAACACTGGCTAACTTTGCTACTTGGCATTTTATTCATCCGGTGGTGAGTTTAGGAAATATTAAAAATAATATGGGCTCTGAGATTTTCCATTACCTCCCTTCTTTTTTGTTGGTAATACATAACTGGCATAACATGTATCATTTTAACTTAACTAGTTGAGTAGCATTTAGTACCCTTGTGGTATAATACAATAAATCACTACCATCTATTTCCAGAACATTTTCATTTCTCCAAAAGGAAACCCCATGGTAAGCAGACGCGCCTCACATCTTGGCCCCTATCCAGCCAGGTGCAAGCACCAGTCTGCTTTTCTTTTTTAGATTTAGAGTTTTTAGTGGAAACAAGAAGACTATCTTGGGGTGAGTCCCGAGTGGGAGAGTACTAGTCTGCTTTCTGTCTGTGTGGTTTCCAAGTTCTCTTCTGTAGCTGACTTCTTTCCTTATGCATAGTGTTGCCTGGCTAAATTGTTCTGGAACATGAAAAAAAGCCTAATTAGATATTATTTATTAAGTTAACCCATGTGAAAGGTTAACTCACTCACACATGTTTACTAAGCATCTTGTAGAGCCAGGGCCTAAACCAAATGATGTACTTGAACAAAACAGATGTGATTATTCCCTTTTGTATCTTAGTGTAAGAGTTAGAAAGTGAGAAATGGCAAAGAGATGTATAATCAAATATCTCTGTAGCCACAAAATTTGACACTGTGGAAGGGTAAAAAGAGAGGGTTGCTGCCCACAAATGGTAGTTGGGAGCATTTCTTCAAGGAGATGCTGTTTAAGGTAAGAAGACAAAAGTCTCCAGGCAGAAGGAATCTACCAGCAAAGATTATGAGCTTGAGGTGTGCTTGATCCATTCAAAGTACCAACAAAGAGCCAGTTTTTTTTTTTTTTTTTTTTTTTTTTTTAAGATTGAGTCTACAACATCTCACTACACAGATCAGACTTGCAGTGATTCTCCTGTTTACAGCCTCCCAAGTGCTGGGATCACAGATGCACTCACCACATCCAGTCTCAATCACTGTCTCAGTGCGCCCCAGGGCTAGGGCCTGCATGCATACCAGAGATTAAATCCTGTCTCTGTGCTCTGCCTAAGCAGGTGCTTTAGTCCACTGAGCTACCAGGCCAGCCGTCAAAAATCCAGTTATGCTCAGGGGATGAGAAGACAGTTTCGGATGGCCTAGCAAGGATGGACTAGTACTAACCAGCAGAAACCACATATCCTGCCAGTCTGGTGCATCCAGAAACAGATTGGAAATCCATGTTGGAAGAAAGGGGAAGCTGTTGAAAAGTTCAAATCAGATAATTATAAAATGAAACAGATAAAGGGTAAATAATGCCTAGCATAAGGAAATCTTAATCCAGTGGTGGAGTTGGGATTCCCAACATCCCCACAGTAGGAATACTTTGGAGATCAGCACATGAATCTGAATAACATGTTGGGTGTCTAGAGAGCCTAGATAGAACAACGTGCAGAGAAACTCTGTCTCACTGGAGAACATGAGCTACGTGTTCTTTTAATCACAATGATGTTCTGCTTTCTGGAGCACGTGTTTCTGAGGAGTTAATGTATCATGATGGTAGGAGGAAACACTATCTGTGAGATCTGCCTCCAACATCTGACTGGGGTGGGGAGCATTTCTGATCAGACGTCATGGAAAAGTCAGTGGGAAATGTGCTGGCTTCTACAGCATAAGGCCCAGGAAGAGGCTGACGTTGGACACAGCTTGGTTCCTGGCACGCCTCCATCAGATCCCAACACCAGCTCTGCTTCTGGCTTTGTGCCCTCATTTCTGCTCTCTAACTCTGTTCCTCAAGGTCAGACTCTTATCACCATCAGCAGTGCAATGAAAACCTCTTGGATCAGTCTTCTAGGAGTCCTGGCATTGCCTCTTCCATGTCATGTCACTCAATGCTGAGGCTGAGATGGGGTAGCTCAGTGGTGAGGCCACCAACAAGCTCCATACTACATGCATGGCATGAGAATCTCTTACCAGAGTGAATTGTCGGGTGCCTAAAGAACTAGTTCTCATAGGCACTGAGTGGCCAGCCACTCGCTAGAGGTAAAGACAGTATGGCAGCCATAGGGAGGGGAGCTCACTGCTATGTTTGTTCAAGCATAGGCAATGAGAAGGATGAGTTCACAATTTTGGAGAGCTCTTAGCTGGTGGGATTTGAAGGAAGAGGAGCTACTGGATGACACCTAAGTAGGATACCCAGATTGAGAGTTGAAACAGGAAAGTGTGGAATCAGGGAAGCCTAGAGATCAAGCACCCTGGAGACTTTTCTTTTAATGTGTTTAGTAAGGGTCTCACTACACAGATCGGACTCATACTGATCCTCCTGTTTTCAGCCTCCCAACCTGTGGGATTATAGGCATGTCCCACTATGCCCAGTTTTAGTCACTATCTCAGTGTTTTAAGGGCAGGGCTAGCATGGCACACTGGGGATTGAGTCCTGGTCCTTGTGCCTGCCTAAGCAGACACTTTAATGCACTGAGCTATCTGAAGCTAGTACTGCAGATATCACTGAAGACACAGAAGGGCATGATTTTCCTAAAGCAGAGGGGAGATTTGCCAGGGATTCACAGGTAGGGGGATAAATGAATATTTAGAGTAGGTATTCCTTGCCCACAACAAGTTCTTGGGGGTAATAAGGGAAAAGGTAGAAATGTAGAAAAAAGCATTTAGAGAAAGCTGTTTGTAGGATAACTGGTTTGTATTTTCTGGGTTAGGAATAGAGGAGGTCCCTATGGGCATTGTGGGGTGGGGGACCTGGAAACCAGAGATAGAACATCATGCTCAGGAAAATGACAAAGTATTTTAGGGGAAGTCAAAAAGAATAGGAAAAAAGGTGTTCAGAAACAATGGTTAACAGAGAAAGAATAGGTTTTTTTTTAAAAGCAGTTTATTGACGTATAATTGACACATAATGAACTGCATATCATTAAAGCGTGTAATCAGAGCCAGACACAGTAGCACATGCCTATAATCCCAGCACACTGGGAGACAAAACAGGAGGATGATACATTGAAGCTCAGCCCAGGCTGCTTAAAAACTTCAAGAAATCCTGTTTTAAATTAAAAATAATAATAATAATAAAGGCCTGGAATATAGCTCAGTGCAAAGACTGTAGGTTCAGTCGCTAATACCATGCATACACACACACACACATGCACACACAATGTGTGCAATTTGTCAAATTTCTTCATATGTATATACATGTGGCACTATTACCACTATCAAAATTGTCTCTTGCCCTCTTTATAATCCTTTCCTCCATTTCCTGCTTGATTCCTAGGCATTCAGTTGATCTGTTCCTTTTGTGATGCCTTAGTTTGCAGCATCCAAGATTTCATGATGATGACATCGGTCATCATGTGCTCTTCCTGTCTCTTCTCCTTTGTTCAACATATTTAGTGTTGAGCTCTTCCATGTCACCACATCTGTCCCTCTGTTACCCCTTTTCATCACTCAGTGCTATCCCACCAGGGGGATATGCCAGTTTGCTCCTCTATTTAATTGTTCATGACTCTTGTGTTGTTATCTATTTAGGGTCTCTAAAAATGTAGACATTTGGAGGCCATGGACTGGGGAAATAGCTCAGTGGTCTAGGAGCCTGCCTGGCAGATACAAGGGCTTGGGTTCAATCCCCAGTGCAGAACCGGCCAACTGGATGTGGTAGCACACATCTGTATCCCAGCACTGCAGAGGCTGAGACAGGAGGATCACTAGGAGTCCAAGCTGTGTAGCTAGACCCTGTAACAAAGCAATATATAATTAATTAATAAAACATTTGGAAGCACTTTGATTCAAGAGCAAAAGAGAAGAATACATATACAAGGAATCAAGGAAATGTTGAAGCCAAGGAATGGCAAGGGCCATTCGTTCTACGTTACCTTCACTTTCTCCATTCTCAGAGGGATGATCTGCT